AGCGATTACGATAAAGCAGTTCGATTGTCGGTTAGTTAGCATCGGTAAGCACATTAATAACTTACAAAACTCTAGCGTTACTAAGACATCATGTCAGTATTTGGACACTGGTAACACTTCGATAACTCTGTCGGTAACACGTCAACACAAATCGGTCATTAACGTTATACGTGGTGCCGACTCGATCGGTAAATTGTGCCAGGATCTCTATAACTTATATTACTTCATCGTTTTAGTAAACGATATGAATACGATAATAATTGAATAAATGGTTCGACAATTGATTATTAATTTGATTTGCGCGGTAACCTCCGTGAGAAACGCTAAAAGTATAACATTCCTATGGCGATATAAACTTTAGTACAGGAGGTCACGACCGTTGTGACTCCTTTATTTTATCTTCATAGAATAGCACCATGAAGTGCCATTTGAGCTTCGGCAGTAATAGACTTTTATTATTCCACTGTAACCAAACATTTCTATTAGAACTAATAATAACAATAATGATAATAATAATAATAATAGTCATGTCGGGCTGGTCTAGTGAGTGGTTACACCTCACTGGGCAAATGTTAGCTTCCAACGTCCACTACCGTGCCCAGTGAAAACGTTGTCCGTCACGTCAATGCTCTAAGTAGCAACGCTATAACAGATACGGCCAAGAGGAAGATATGGCTCACAAATGACGTAAAAGATAATGGTATTCTGCCGAGGTGGCCAACCATTAATCACTTACACACACCTACACAACACAAACACTTACACACACATGTCTCTTAGTAAATCGGCGAGATGAATGCTCGGCAACTCTATAAACGGCTCTTACTGAAAGAGCAAATGCCCGTGGACTCCTATAAACGGAACCGCCCGAAAGCGAATTAAGAGAATCCCTCTAATCGGGCTCTCCCCGTGAATGAAGCCCGGTTTTGCCACTACGGACACTCACAATCACGCACACTCTACAGGGGGGGGGGGGCACTGAACACACAGGGTGGAGGAGAGGGGACCTCAGGGGCCGTGCATTGTTCCAGCGCGGTTCGTAAAGTCGCGACCACGAGGGACCTTTAGCACAACGGGACGAAACTAAACTATGACAATGTACAAAAGAAATACAGATTTACCTCAAGTGGTAAACCCTTTTCAGGGGGAATCATCTCCAGGTTCCGATCAGGAGAAAGTCCCGGTGGTCACGGGCAGGGGCATGGATTTTGAAGGCCGCACTTTGTGCACGGGGAAAAGGAGAACGACACGAAACAATGACACGAACAAGAACTTACTAAACCTACCAAGACAACAAAGGACAGACAGTGTGTCAAGCGGAAGCAGCGGGGTGAGCTACGCCTCTGCCGCTGACAGCCAAGAAGAGACGAACCGGACGAACACTCACAACGACATACAAGACACGAGACGTGACTGAACTCCTATGGCTTATACAAGAGACGGTGACGAAAATGGCCAAAGCAGCAAACGTACAAAAGAATATGATATGATATGAAAAGAAATGAATATGATAGTGAGTCCGGGAATTAAGACAATTCTCGAGATTGTGGACATTGCGCTGCATCGATCGGACGCAGTTTCGGGAGGACGTCTCCAAGACAACAACAATACAGACAATACACCGGGAAATAACGAAGAGACACAACGAACGAAAAGAAACGTTCGCCGGCTGAAACCACGCCGGAGACCTCACAAAAGAGGTCACCGACGGCTGAACCGGCCAAGGACTGGCAGAAGGTCACACGAAAAATAACAGACAAGATAAAAAAGAAAGGACGCAAATGACGCAAAGAACCTGCAACTGCGGTATCGGTGACAACTACATCTGGGCTACAATCGGCTCTGTCACTTATCTCAGCGTCTACCTGACATCCAACTGCATCGCAGTGCAATTCAAAAGAAAGGTGACACTCCTAGAAGATGGGATCAGGAACCTGTCCGGGGATGTCATCTTTGCGGGGGATTTCAACGTGAGGGCGACCGAGTGGGGAATGAACGAAACGAATCGACGCGGAAGACTACTGCTGGAAATGGCCGCAAGACTCGATTTAGCAGTGGTAAATACGGGACATACGACGATCTACAGACGGCCAGGTGACTCCATTCCCGACGTCACGATGACGTCGGACAGAATCCTAACACGGGTGATGGGATGTAGTGGGATGTGATGGGGTGGCGGGTGATCGAAGACTATACAGCCAGCGATCACCAGTACATCGCCTTCGAAGCGGTGGCACGGACGGAAACGAGACGAACGAGAACCCACGAACCCCCGCGGTGGAACCTAAATAAACTCGACGGACGAAAATTTTCGGAGGAGTTGATGGCAGCACCAGCACCAGGGGTGAAATTGACGGGCTGGCGAAGAGCGGAAAGACTGACAGACGAGACTGTCAAATTAATAGACAGCCATACGAACGAGATAGCTGGACTACGTAGGATATGCCTGCCAAATCGGCGACGAGTGACAAGGGCTGGGGGCGAACCCGAAAAGGAAAACCTTCAAGTTATATACAAAACAGTACGAAAGACGCTGACGAAAGCAATATGGGACAGCAAGACGCGATGCTGGAGGAATCTCTGCGAGGAGGTGAACGAGGATCCCTGGGGAACCGGGTACAAGATCGTGACCGGTAAACTAGGGGCCCGAGTCCCACCGGAACTTAAAGATGCCGAAACAGCAGGACGGATTGTTGACGGATTGTTTCCGACGCACCTGATTAGGACGAACGTGACGGACGACGTAGACGCACGGGTGCCTCCCCGTTTTTACCATTGAGAAGCTCACCAGAGCAACGAATGCGATAAAGACGGGCAAGGCGCCAGGACAAGACGGAGTACCGGCCGAGGTTCTTCGGCTCGTGGATCGTCTACGGCTGGAGATAATCCTCGATCTGAATGTTCAGCGACCGGTGGAAAGAGGCAAGGCTCGTCCTTATTCCAAAAGGTAGGAGCGATCCTGGCACGCCTTCGGCTTACCGACCATTGAGTTTACTTGACATGACTGGTAAACTCTTCGAACAACTATTGAGACCGAGACTAATGGACGCGATACAAATCGGAGGGGGTTTTTTAGAGTTGCAGTTCGGTTTCAGGAAGTGTCGATCGACGATTGGAGCGATCCAAAAGGTCGTCGACTCTTTCCTGGAACTAGACAGACACTGCCACGCGGCGCGACCTATAGTGTTACTGGCGATGCTCGACATTAGGAATGCTTTTAACTCGGCTAGGTGGGGAGATATCTTGGAGGCTGAAAAGCAACTTCGAGATGCCATCATACTTGCTTCGGGTTGTGTAGGATTATCTAAAAAACAGACGGATAACGTAAGGGACGATCGAAGGACAAGTAACTAGACAGGTCACCGCTGGGGTGGCACAGGGGTCGATACCGGGACCTATCTTCTGGAATGGTTTATACTATAGCTTGCTTCGGCTTGGGATATCGCTCTGAGTGACCCTCGTCGCCTACTCTGATGATGTGGCGGTGGTGATTACGGAGAGGTCCCCTGAGCTGACACAGCTGGCGTTGAACCAGACCATGAGACGAGTTGGACGATGGATGACAGACCACGGACTATAACTCGTAACAGAAAAGACGGAACTGATATTTCTCACGAGAAAACACATACAGATGATACTACACATGAGGGTAGGAACATACAAGATGGAGACCAAGACGGAAGTCAAGTATTTTGGGGTAACCCTCGAAACGAAGATGACCTCCTGGCCTCATATACAGAAGACAACCCGGAAAACGGCAGATAGGATAGCATCCTTATGTCAGCAGATAGGATAGCATCCTTATGTCGGCAGATAGGATAGCATCCTTATGGCAAATACAATGGGACCGAGATCGGGGAAACGGCGACTATTAATGGCGACAGCTCACTCGATCCCTCTATACGGTGCGAAAATATGGATAGACTCTCTGAAGACAAAGAAATACTGTAAGTCGATGATGATGGTACAGAGACAGGGCGCACTGCGAATCGCTTGCTCCTACCGAACAGTCTGTGCGCAGGCTGTTTTGGTGGTGGCTGGCGTAATACCCGTGGATCTTCTGACCTTTGAACGCAAAAGGATCGACGGGAGCAGCGCAGACATAGGATGAAAGAACGCGGCAATCGCTGAGCGTGACAGGACAATTGACATATGGCAAGGCCGATGGATAGAAGAATGAGGTGGTAACTGGACAAAATGACTGATATGGAACTTGAGGCTGTGGCTTGGAAGGAAATTTGGCGATATAAATTTTTACGTCACCCAACTCTTGACGGGTCACGGGTACTTCCGACGGTACCTTCACAATATGAATAGAGTACGAACACCCGACTGTAAGTACTGTGGACATGAACGAGACAACGTGGAACACACGTTTTTCGCATGTGACAGTTGGAGAAGACTCAGATAGGAACTAGAAACAACGGTCGGCAGTATCACCCCCGATAACATTGTAAAGGTGATGCTGCATGAACCCGAATTGTGGCGCTTAGTCGCTACCTATACGGAAACTATAGTGAGACATAAGAACGCGGCCGACTTCCTGACAGATGACTGAGCAGACGGAGTAACGCGACGTAACCAAATACGGAGGAACGACACGAACGGACGAAGACAGACTCCAGTCAAAAGTAATATTAATATAGTCCCTGATTAGGGGAAGGACATCAAGAAAGTAGCGGTTTAGTGGGTAGGCCTGTTTTTTTTGGGAGTCTCACATAACCCCTTCATCAGCAAGTCTAAGGGGAAGCCGCAAAATTAATTTCGCAACTCCTTGTAAAAAAAAATGAAAAAAAGAATGAATACTTCTGTCTAGGGTACAGATGGCCTCCTCAGAGACACTTAGCTCTAGTTATTTTATCTCTATCTTCCCAGACTCTGTCAAAGTAGTATCGGTGAACCCTGTCGCTTTGCAGAATATCCGTATGCTTCTCAGGTCAACCACTTTAAATATCTCAGGATCTAATATTCCTGTACCCATCCACTTCTTTTTGTGACCATTAGAGCTGGGCATTCCCGTTGGAAATGTAGTCCTCCTCTTCCTCACGCCATCTGCATAAGTTATTATGTCTTTGTGTTTTATGAGTATAACAGTGAAGCTCGAAATGTCCGGTAAATACTCCTAGGTATTATTCTTGCTTCCGATTTGCTCATGTTCTTTATGATGCTAGACCATTTATTTATACTTTCTCCAAGCAGAGTTCTCATCTATCTACATCCCTTGGATTTCTTCCAGGTTGTCCATCTTTCTTCCTTCATAATGGAGTCTATTATCTTACACCCTTCCCGGTAAGGCATTTCTACCTCCCAGTTTGTGTCAATGCCTGCTCCATACCCTGCTTGTTGGCCAGTTTGTTCGCCTGTTCATTACCCTTGTACCCTGAGTGCACAGGTACCCATATAACTAAGTATATATTGTATTATATATTTTTTCCATTATTGTATATATTTTGCACAGAAATACTACATTTTCCTATGTTGCCTTTATTAAAGTGTAATTTATTATTTTTCTTCTATTTAATGCTACGATAAAAAAGGCACCTGATTTATGTCAAATTCCAATACACTATGGCCCAAGCAGATATTCTTTCCAATATATCTACTATTGATTTCTAATATTGACTTCAATATCCACATGCACGTCATCAATTGTTTATGCATGAACAAAATTATATGTACAATAATGTATAACATATTTTAAATAATTAACAATTGTTAAAATTAAAAAGTATTTATTTTTGAAATACCATAAAACTCTTCAGTTACATAATTTATAATAAAAATGAAAATTTCTGAAATCATACGTTTCATATTCCAATTTGGATGGAAACAAAAGTCAGATAAAAGAATTTGTGTTGGTTTTCCTCGATTTGTCATATGATGAAGTGACTTTAATGATAATAAGACTCGCTTGTTCAGAAAATATGGTGTTAATTGAATTACTAATATAAAGTTCAAATTTGAATAACTCAGAAGTAGGCGTAGGTGTTGAAAAAATGTTACATCATATTCTAAAACGGAAAAGTATTGTAGTGTAATAATATTAGCAATAAAATGCTTTCTATTTTCCAAGTCGTGTGAAATAATAGCAACCTGCAACAAAAAATATATCTTCTTTAAGTGACATTCATATAATAACATTTTCATCTGTTTTATTTGTATATGAAAATATTGTAAAATATTTGTAGAATTACTTTATAACATAAAAATGGATAATTAATCAAAATTAGACGTAGAATATGAGGCGAAAGGACTATCAAGCGAATCTATTTGCAATAACCGATGACCAATATTGCAGCGATAGTTATTTTCAAATTAGATGTTCATTGAACATACAATTTTGGCACTGTAAATTTCATTTCCAGTTAGTTCCATTCAGATTTAACGTTTCTGGTGGCCAATCATATAATACTATTGCATCGTCGGAATTTTTGGTAAACATTTTCTGAAGGCAACAACGCTGTAAAACTTTTTCAATTCTCGATTCAAGTCATATCTAGGCTCATTTTATTGCATCAACGAGGTCAGATTCAGCAAGCAGATATCAAGATCTATTACTGCATAATCGCGCTCCAGCATGTTAGGAGATAAGATTAGCCGTGCTAAACGATTCAAACGTCGAATCTATGGTATTCTTAGCACACGTCAGTCTCGATTTTCATACCCTTCATTACTTTTTCCCTTCTACTTTACGTACAATTACTTTTCCTGCATGCTTCCAAATTCTTCAGCTGGTTTTTCATATTCGCGCTCTCTATTCTCTGTCGCAGTCGCTCATCAATATATATTCGCGCCTTGATAAATATCCATTCATTATAGTGTATTAATAATACGAGGTTGAATCAATAAATCCTTAGAAAATCCAAGAAATGGCGTGTTAAGCATTCTAAGTAGAGTGCCGCCAAATTTTTAAATAGATCTATTAAGTGTTTTTATCATCGATCAAAGCGAACAACTTCTGCTTATTGTTAACAATGGAAAAAAATGAATTATGAGCGGTGACAAAACATTTCTAATAAAAGACTTCATACTGAAAGAAATCAAAGCTGAAGTAGATGCAGTTCATGGTGTATCTTTCTGTGTTTGCAATTGCTTATAATTGGATAAATGTATTGTAATTGGATTGTAAACGTAGCCATACATTGGCTATACATGAATATTATTCAAGCTATCTTGTAGATGGGGGTACCCTGGAAATGATCAATAAAATCCACGATATAGTGTTAAGTGACCGAAGAATAAAATTGTACGAAATAGTTGAGGCCATAGGAGTTTCAAAAGGTACAGTTGTTTGTATTTTGCATAAGAAATTAGACATGAGAAAAATTTTGACAAGATGTTTGCTCTCAGGTGAAAACAGATGTAGTTGTGCAGTCGTCAATGAGGCCCTCTTAGCGAGTATAAACCGTAACCCTGACGATTTTCTGCGTCGTTTCATAACATCAGACGAAACCTGAATACACCACTACACTCCCAAGGTAAAGGAACAGTCAATCGCGTGGATTGTGAAAGGTCAATCAGCTCTAAAGAAAGCGAACACAGTGAAATCGACCAGCAAGGTTATAGACACTGTTTTTCGGGATGCATATGGAATTATCTTCGTCGACTATTTAGAAAAAGGATAAACAGTTACCCGAAAGTATTATATGTCGTTATTGAATCGGTTAAGTGAGAAAATAAAGGAAAAACGTTCTCATTCGAACAAGAAAAATTCTGTTTTATCAAAATAATGCACAAGTGCATACTTGCGCATTTTGAATGGGCAAAATTGAGGAATAGAAGTTCGAATTAGTGATCTATCTTCTGTATTCACCAGATTTGGCCTCCAATGATTTTTTATTCCTAAACCTATAAAAGTAGTTATCCAAACAATGATTCATCTCAAACACAAACAAATAACTATTTTGAGGAACTCAAACAATAATTTCTTTTTCTGACGACTTGAATAATTGAATAACGCCTGGAAAAGTGTATCGAGTGTATCGAGTTAAAAGAAGATTTTGTTGAAAAATAAAAAAAATGTACACAAAAACAATTGTTTTTTTATCTTTTACTAAAGAATTATTGACCCTTTTTCGTATTTAACCATGGGAGTGTTTGCGACGTCCGAATCTATCCCTGTTAATAAAAATTGTACTGATGACTATGGGCATAACCGTCATCGGGTTAAAGCTGTATTTTTTGGTTTCAAGATTTACGATTAAGAGTTAAGTTATTTATTTTATCAGGATGTTTTTCATGTTCTTTTACTTTCACATAAATGTCTTTGTTGGTAACTCGAAATTCTTGGTTGGTAAATTAAAATTCTTACAATTAATTTATAGATAACATTAGTTGGTTAACTTTATTTACTTACGTGATTCTTAGAATTATATTATTTAGATTCTTTTTACTTTTTGGTATGGTCAGACTGTCATATTTTTTAAGTTGTTAGAAAGGACTTCTTAAGAATTGTTAAGAATTCTAATTATATGATATCCTAAAACATAATTCTTTTACATATATTATCTAATAAATTTTCATTTGATCGTAATATGCTATAGCTAAATAAATCATAGATTTGAGAGCGATATGAATTGAGGAATAAAATCTCATTTTAATAAAGATATGTGTTCACTCGTCATCGGAGACTTTATTTTATCTATCTATTTCGAACGTCCTCTCTGTTCTCTCTCTATTTATTTCAATATCTGTTAGACTGTTTCATTTCATGAAATCATTTTTTATTGACTAACTCATTGGTGGTTGTGTGAATGCCGCAAATAAGCCTGGATGTAAAAGATCATTTTCGTCGACAATTGCTTTATATAGGCGTGTCACATGAGTAAATATAAGATCAGGTAAGAGAAGTTAGTACAGAAGTAGTTTTGTGTGTTTTCTTTAGTTGGTAACTACGATATAAGTAAGACTCTCTTCGATAACTCATGTACGAGGGTCGTTTGAAAAGTCCGTGCAAAGTCAGAGAAATGGCGCTACTAGTGCGTATCAAGGTTATTTTCAGTTAGTGGCATATCTTAGAAGAGCACACACCAAGTTTCAGCCAGATCGGCCAATTACTTTGCGTTTTACATTCGTTTCAATCAAAGAAATCGAGTGGTTCTAAAAAAATGGACGAAAAAGAATTTCGTGTATTGATTAAACATTGCTTTTTCAAAGGCAAAACGCCTCAAGAGATTAAACAGAAGCTTGATAAATATTTTGTTTATTGTGCACCTTCTATTAGAATGGTTTATAAGTGGTTTCAAAATTTTCGGAGTGGCCACATGAGCACAAAAGACGCTGAACGTTCTGGACGCCCTGTTGAGGTTACCATTTCAGAAATCATTGATAAAATCCATGTATTTGTATAATATTTTGCACCAATATTTGGACATGAAAAAGCTATCCGCTAGATGGGTGCCGCGATTGTGCTCACGATTGACCAAAAACGAGATCGTGTGAAGTGTTGCAAGAATGGTTTGCAGCTGTTCCAGCAAAATCCGCAAGACTTTAAGCGCCGTTTCATCACTGTAGATGAAACATGGATACATCACTACACTCCTGAGACCAGAGAACAGTCTAAACAATGGGTTACCAAGAGGGGAATCTGCTCCGAAAAAGGCGAAGACAATTCCTTCGGCCGAAAAGGTTATGGCGACTGTATTTTGGGATTCGCAAGGAATAATCTTTATCGACTATATGGAAAAGGGTAAAACCATTACAGGCGAATATTATTCATCGTTATTGGATCGTTTGAAAACTGAGAGTCCACGATTGGCCCGCAAAAAAGTCCTCTTCCACCACGACAATGCGCCAGCTCACGCTTCAGCAGTTGTGGCCGCAAAACTGATGGAGATAGGGTTCCAACTCGTTTGACATCCCCCCTATTCTCCAGACTTGGCTCCGTCGGACTACTATTTGTTCCCTAATATTAAAAAATGGCTGACGGGGAAAAGATTTTATTCAAACGAGGAGGTGATTGCAGAAACGAATGCCTATTTTACAGACTTGGATAAATCCTATTATTTGGAAGGGATTAACAAACTAGAGTAGCGTTGGATGAAGTGTATAAGCCTAAAAGGAGACTATGTTGAAAAATAAAAAAGATTTATTAAAAAAAATCAAGCAGTTTTTATTTTTGCACGGACTTTTCAAACGACCCTCGTACATTATCACGACCGGCATGCAAAATGATTTGCTATATATATATATATATATGTAGTCATATTTACATTTCCATATACATCAACAGCAAATCACGACGTATGTGAGAACGATACAGAGATAGCGAACATACTGATGACGAGCTTGCGGTCAGGGGATGTGGAAGATGGAAGGTGGCAGGAGGGACTATTTGAGATTACGCCATCAGTTGAAGACCACAGTGGAAATCAGCACGCAGAGTCAGAAAATCCGTGTCACCCGACGTGCAATGTGATGCCTTCGAATAGTTCGTTGTTTGATACCGGTGCACAGGTAACGGTAATAGTCGGATGATGGTCGCTGATTCTTGCTGAATGATTGGTGTATGATTTCGCAAGAATACCGATGGAGATCACGGTGGCTCTCAGTCTGATAATAACGATAGACGGTATAAAGCGTACGATGGTAACATAGGCATGCGAGAAGACACTGCAATACAACATGATTGTCGACATGAAATTGATTTTGGTATTCAGTATAAGGGCTGACCACGGAGCTAGGAGTTATTAAAACGACGGGAGGAAGCATTGGCATTTGTCGCACAGAAGGCGCAGATCAGAGTGTCCGTCCCATTCAATCCATATAGGAAACTCGCGCACGTGGGAGCCGAGGTATTAGTGTTATCGATGCTATAGCCGTCATAATGACATGATTCATGATCTTGTCCGTCCGTACTCTTACAGATCATGCTAAATAAAATGACTGAGTAGCTATGAAATAATATAAGTGTTGATTTGGGTAAAAACGATTTGAAAAATTAAAAACTGACGGTAACATTAGGGTTTGACAGTTGTTCTGGGCACAAATATGTTGATAAAAAATATGAGAATCCTGCAAATGAAAACGATGATATTCAATCAAGTTTATTTGTAATAAGTCGTATAGTCATAAGAATCAGAAGTAGTATCTTG